TTTGAGACGCCTTTTTTTGTCCTGGGCCGATAAGCTTTCGCTGGTAAGGATGTTTTCGAGAAGAGCCAACAGATGGCTGTCGACGTCTTTTTTCTGAGACTCGTACTCATCTGCTTGGATTGGTTCACAGTAGTGTGTTTTGATGCGCTCCGTACTGGACGGCTGTGTATCAACGGCAGGCTGATGACCAGTCGGTGGGTTTTTCGAGGCTTTCTGGAAGAATTTCATGCATTCACTACTAGCATTACTATCCTAATTTCATGCATCTATCCTAAAAATCCTAAAAGGCCTAAATCCTAAACAAAAATCCTAAATTTCAAAGCTGCCTTAAAAAAAAAAAAAAAATTCTGAACGCCTCAAATTCCAAATCACTTTTCGGAAAACCGGTATGAACAAACTCAGGACCACTCACTAAAATAATATGAAAGAAAACCAAATTTGACACCTCACGCTGCAACGACTTCATTTCCGAGATAAGAGTATCCGGTACAGTGAACACATCACTCTCGTTGTCCATCAAAAAAATGACTAACTGCCGACAATCTGACGCACTTACTCCATCCGAAGGCCCAACAATCTTATCTGCAAGGCTGCCAAGAACCTGAAACGAAATTTCGAATCATAATTTCGAGCTTTTTTTTTTAATTTTTTGAAACTTTTTTGAATTTTTTGAATTTGAATTCTTTTCAATCCTTGAATTTTGAATATTGAAATCCCCCATGTCTAAAGCAGGGATTCAGTACCAGCGAGCGAACAAATGACGGGGGAACTAACAAGTGTACGATTGTCCCGTTGCTGGTCCATTCGCAGACAGTGATTTCGGCTGACACGCAGCATAAAACGGAGCAAATAATGCAGTCGACGGCGAACACGTGGCTCCAGCGTTAACATCACCAAAGCAATCGCCTTCTTCAGCAACTTCTCGTCGTCGCTGCCGATGCCTGAAGCGCAATTCTGAACAAAATCCCAACGTTTCGAGAGTGGACAATACCGGGGGGAGGGGGTTGCCGTCACGAATACCAGTAATTGCCCGAAAGGACATTTCAGTGGAGTCAACCCAGCAACCATCGAAAAGACCCACATTCATTACAGCACTGACCTGCCAATAGTTGAGAAGAATCGGACAAGCGTGGTGTACTCGAGCGTGGCATAAGCGTGTTTGCTAACGCCAGTTCTTCGATGCGCTCCATCAGTTCAGGACTTCGCTGCAAACCCGGTAATCGAGAGAGGACTGCTTCGTAAGCCATTCTTCCGGCTAAAAACAGCGTTTCCTACAGCACTATGAACAAAAATATGAACATAAAAAAAAAACAAAAACGAAAGATATATGAACAAAAAACTATTATTGGACGATAATGAAAAAATCAAAAAACCTCTACAAAAGAACGACAAAACGAAAAAAATGAATAAAAACAAAGACGAAACAAAAAACAAGACGCAAAAAAACAAAAACCCAGGCTGGGACGCACCAGACTTGCCGGCGCGATCATGCGTTTTTGCACTAAAATTGTGGGTCGCTAACAGCAGGAATGCTTTGGTTTCTTCCGGCATGTAGCAGAATGCACATCGGTTGGAATGACTTTGCATGACTATATGAGAGACAAACATCCTGACAAAATTTTCGTCACTGTTTTCGTTTTCGAGTTAGCATAGTACCAAGTCGCAAACTCTGACGTGGTCGTATGCGTTGCACAAGCGTGTGCGACAGCTAAAAAGCTCGAAAAGCTGAATTGTGAATTCAGCCCCCCTGAATTCAGAAATAAGCTGAATTTAGCCTTCCAGCTTTCATGGTTGCTAAGATGAAAGTGAGTGACAAAATGCACTCGTTTCCGAACACACACACACAGACAGTATGGTTTTTGCTAGCTGTAGCAGCGCTGTAGTTTTTTAGTTTTTTTTTTTTTAATTTTTTTTAATTTTTTAATTTTTTTAAT